CAGGGTGAAAACCTAGGCAAGTTTCCTTACTCCATACACCTCCTTTTGCCTAGCAGTGAGTAGGAACCTTGTTGTGAGTCGATTGGTGGATGTTCTCTGGGTGTAAAAATCCATTCAATAAAACAAATAATAATAGTAATTGGTCACTTCATCCACGACTATTGTGGGACACTCCTGTGCGTAATTGGCTGCCGGGTTTCGCCCACAAATACACAGTCAATTCACTTTACAGTATATTCTGTGAAGCACTTTGAGACGTCTTGAAGACGTAATAAGGCGCTATATCAAATGCAAGGAATATTATTATTTTTATTATTATTATTAGAAGCAGTCTGCATTGTGACCAAGTAGTAGATAAGCATAGTGTGTCACAAACACCTGGGCAGCAAACATGAGGAAGGGGAGGGTGGGAAGAAAGGAAGCATTTCAAAGCATGATTCTTCTCAATGTAATGGACTGTTAAAGGTAAGGGGGAAAAAATCCCTACTGAATTCCCGAGAGTGGGAAGAGGTGTTCAACATTCACTATAACCAGCCTGACCGAGGTACGGTCAGCATCCTTTTCCTGACTGGATGAAGATGAAAGGACTTGAAGTCTATCAGCAACTGTGATTCACGTCGAGACATCTCGAGTGCTTCACAGTTACAGATGTCAAGTGTAATGACTGTTTATTTTGTAAGGCAAACAATGTATGCAGCAAAATCCCACAAACAGCCAAGAGGTAAATGAGCAAATCTGAATTATTATCATCATGATATCATTATTAATTATAATACTTGCATTTGATATGGCGCTTTCCACAACAGGATACCACCTGGACAAGCTTCGCTCACAAAATACAGTCAATCCACTTTACAGTACATCATACAGCATGTGAACCACTTTGAGAAGTATTGACGCCATGATAAGGCGCTATATCAAATGGAAAGATTAGTATTATTATTATTTTGTGGGTGAACAGCCAGGAATATTTTGAAGGCCAGGCCAATGTGGGAAACTCCTTTCTCTTATCAAAGTGCCAAAGCATCATGGAATGATTCAAAATCATTTTGGCAAAACATGTCTTCCTGTCAGATACCGGTTAATATCCAGTGTGACGCCAAGAGCCATTCTGCTCAGTAATGCAACAAGTGGTGAGTTGGAGAGAGGAAAACAAAATCTTTATGTTTGGTATTGCACTTTTGACGATGGCAAAATGCTCCAAGGTGCTTTCCAGGATATACAATAAAGTGCAGTGAATGTATTTTGTGGGCGAATGCGGCAGCCAATTTGCTCACAGCAACATCCCACAAACAGCCACAAAGTGAATGACCAACTTTTAATTGGAGTCCTGTAGCTCAGTGGTTAGAGCACTCGCTTTGCAAGTGAGAGACCTGAGTTCAATTCCAGGCAGAGGGCGAAACCTTGGGCAAGTCTCCTTACTCCACACAGAGCCTAATAATAATCCCTCCAAAACCAAAAACAATAATAAATTGGTCATTTTCAATCTACGACTGTTTGTGGGACATTGCTGTGCGCCGCTTTCGCCCACAAATATGCAGTCAATTCACTTTACAGTGTGTTCTGTGAAGCGCTTTGGGACGTCCTCCCGACGTGAAAAGCGCTATATCAAATGCAAGGATTATTATTATTATTATAATTGGAGATTGTTGACCAGGAACTGGGAGAAATTCCCTTCTCTTTAAAGAGAAGGCTTTGTCGGCTATGACTCCAGAATAAAAAAGCCAATCTTGCCCGACAGACATTTACGGACTGAGAGCAATTACATTTCTCGTCCTTGGAGGCCAATAACTGGTCTGGCAGTCCGGGGCTGATGCCAGCTAGCGGGGTTGTGAATTGATTTGCTGTCAGTCCTACAAGTCCAGCGAGAGCTGTTTGTGGGACTTGCTATGCACAAACTGAATGCCACGTTTGCCTACAAAACAGAATGCAATATGTTTACATGGTTCTTTTCACAGTTATTTAACATTAACGTGACTCGACACCTGAGCTGGGGTGGGAGCCAAACATGGAGGAGAAAAGATGACCAAATGTGCAGTCAAAGAAGTATGAGCTTTTAACGAGAGGAGGGAGGGAGCAAATCCAAGATGGAGTTACAGAGATCAGTGCATTTGGCAAACTTTATAATAAATCCTGTAAAGCCCTTTGAGACTTGATTTGAAAGGTGCAATAAATATCAAGATTAATTATTAAATTTTTAAATTATTGTTATATATCAAATATTTAATAACTTAATTATTATATCTAATTGTTATTTGATACATGATAATTAAATTAATTATATATCAAATGCAAGGGTTAGTATTATTAATTAATAGGCATTGTCAAAAGAAAATGGATTGTATTTGGATTATATCAGTTGCCCCTTTAAGAACCACCTGAATCGCAGGCCAGAAAAACTAACGCTCGCTCTGCTTAAAATAGAGCAAGAATGAAAAATGCCGCAGGTATCCAGGCCACCTCGTAACCATTGCCTGCAGTGAGCGCAGTTAAGCGGAGTAGACATTACTGCTCAGCACAGTGTTCTCTCTGGAATTTCATTCCACCACCCACACCCACACCCCCCCTCCCCCCCCCCACTCACAACTCACTCCTCCATTTTCCCCAGAGGATAGAGTTTAAAATCTGATTTTCAAAGCCTTCCACAGCCTTGCTCCTCCCTACCTCTGTGACCTGCTAACTCTATCCCGACCTGTCCGCTCCCTCCGCTCAGCGGACTCTGGCCTGCTCAACGTCCCCCACTCTGGCCGTCCAACCACCAGGGGTCGGGCCTTCAGCCATCCTGCCTCCAACATCTGGAACTCCATCCCACAGTCACTCTGCTTCACCCTCTCCCTTGCCTCCTTCAAAGCACGTCTCAAGACCACCCCCCCACTCTCCCCGGCTAACACCCCAGCTTGGGTGCCCATCCAGTACTCTTTGATATGTCCTCTCGACATGAAAGATGCTGCCTCAATGTAAACTATACTTTACTGCATTTATCTGCCCAGATGTCATCCATACATTATTTAAGATAACAACAATGACAAGAGTGGATAAAATCCAGGTTTCGCCACACACAAAGTCCTTACTCCCTAATCAATCGCTCCCATTTCATTAACACAATCTGCAAAAAAAATATTGATTGTAGCTGAAGGCTGACGTAAGATCTATTGACCCCCAAGAGCTCACTGAAACACTGAGACCTGAAGCAAAGACAGGGCAGAGAGATGATGTTGGGAATAGGGGGTGTGTGGTGGGAAAGGGAAAGAGAGAGAAAATATAAAGTAGGCTAGCAGCTGCTGAGCAGAGGGAACAACCAACAACAACTTGCATTTATATAGAGCCCCTCACGTGGAGCAGCATCTTAGGAGCGTTTAACAGTGGCTGAGCAGAGGGGAGGGAGGTGACCGTAAGCACGGTCGAAGAGGAAGGTTTCGTGATCTAAAGAAGGGGGCAAGGCTGAGGGATTGAGGGGGAGAAACTGGCAAAGATTTGGAGCGTGGAGTGGCAGGACGTTTCAGGAGCAAAGCTGTGGGAACACCTGAACAAGAGCACGAAGATCTCCTGAATTCGATCTGTTGGGGGATATTGTGGAGCCCAGAAAAGGGCATTGTGAACATGGGTCAGTAGCCGGCAAGCATAAGCATGGAGTGTTCAAGCGGTGTTTCTTGTTGGGGCGGGGGGGTGTGGGAGGGGAGATTAATAATAATAATCCTTACATTTGCCTTATCTCAAAGCACTTCACAGAACATACTGTGAAGTGAATTGACTGTATTTTGGGGGCGAAACACACCAGCCAATTGTGCACAGCAGTGTCCCACAGACAGTCATGGATTAACTAAATTATTATTATTATTATTTTTNGAAGGAATTATTACCCCTGAAAGAGCGATCTGCCAATGGCTAATAACTGTGTACCTACTTTCTGCTAGGTAAACGGAGGCATGTGGAGTAAAGAAACTTGCCCAATGTTTCGCCCTGCCGCGAATTGAATCCAGGTGTCTCGCTTGCGAGGCGAGTGCTTCAACCACTGAGCTACAGGACTATAAGATAAGATGGTGCCAGTGTAGCGAGAGGCTGGTGATGCCAACCTGCAGGGGAGTGTGAAGGGGAAGCTTTGTGGCTGGGAGCAATGTGGGAAGACCAAGAGAGGGAGGTGGTGGGATTCATGTAGTCAATATAGCCAAGTGTAGAGTTAAAATTGATCTTCTATAAAGCTGTACTGTTGTTTTAAATGAAACACACAACTATCATCCAAGCTTCCTGTGGCCTGACAAGCTTCCCACTGCTTGTCCGGTTAGCATTGTCTTCTCCAAGTGGGAAGACTCCTTGCCCTCGAAGAGAAATGACACTGCAATCGATTTGGAGTCCAAAATCTTTTCAATTTAGGTGTCACACTCGAAAAATGCAAGCGTAATGACAATGCGGACAGAAACATGAGAATGTGAGAGAGGAAAGAAAAGGAAGTCTGAACACTATTCAGACTCAAGTCTCCATTTAACAGCAAACTTCTCTGTACCAGGGAATGTATTTTGCAAGCCAAAGATTCCTGACATTTTTTCTGCCAAAAGCTAAAATGTCAAACGGAGGTCAAAGTTCTACCTCACAGTGCTCAGCTACGCCAAGGGAACCAATGCTAAAAAACACAACATAAAAACGCCCTCAGAAATACAGCAAGAGACGGACCTGTAGGAAGTATTTCAGTTAGTGATGGCCAACCCCTGGCCCGACAAACATTCGCCCTAGTTAGGTACGTCCATGTTCAATCAATAGTGTGTTTCCATTATTTTCTTGATTGAATATTTCTCGATTTATAGCACAAATCAAGAAATATTCAATCAAGAACTTTTGTCGGACGACCAAAAAGGATCGCCATCACTGATCCAGGTAAAACGTACACAACGTTCGAGGACGAAGTTGGATTCATCGATTCCTACAACTGATGTGGCTCGGTTTCAGATGGCAATAGAAAGCTCTTAAAAGTCTTACTCCGCAGAGTCCCTGCCAATGGTACGTACCTGGCTCCAAAGATGTCCTTCCTCGCCAGATCAATGCCTGAAATGACCTTGACTCGGAGAATACGGGATTCTTCCTGAAAGGAGAGAAAAAGGGGCAAATTAGACAGCTCTAACGTCAATTGCAGACCATTAGTTTACGTATGAAATACAAAACACGAATCCTCTATTTAAGATACTCTTTTCCTTTTTTTTTGGTCTGGGGTCTGAAGAAACCCTCGCCGTGTTCATGAGTATCTAAACCATTCAAAGGTAGGCCACCTACCCGTGGAGATTTCACTGTGCCTTCAGTGAAATGCACTCTTCCCCTTGGAGGGATGTATCAATGCTAACCTCATGCCAAAGAATATTAGGTTAGGCACACATTGCCAAGAGCCGAGGTTCAGTGAATGCAGAGTGTGAGTTTTTTTCTGTGGTGGGAGGGGAGGAGAGAAGGAAGGGAAATGCTGGAATTTAACCAGCCTGTCCAGTGAGGACCACCCTAACAAAAGCTGTTAAGGCTTTGGCTTATAGGGATAACAGCAACTGAATGAGAAGAATCCCTGCCCCCAAGGCCACAGCAGCGAGCTATCAACTGAGCCAGTGTGTCAGCCTGACTCAGCTCGTAGCATCTCACCTCCACATCAGAAGGTTGTGGCTCCGAGTCAGAACTCTGAACCCATCATCTAAGCAGGCGCTCCAAGCGACCCACCAATCGACTAACAACTGGGTTCTTACTTACTCCAGGTAAACAGAGGCGTGTGGAGTAAGGAAACTTACCCAACGTTTCGCCCTGGCGGGAACCAAGTCCCGGTCCCCTCGCTTGCTAGGCGAGCGCTCTAACCACTGAGCTACAGGACTCCAAGCTGAAGTCACCTAAGATGAAGAAAGGGGACTCAGTCACAGCCCAAATCCCCTTCCCACCATGGTAGACTTGTCCATTTTTGTAGGGTGCGGAGAGTGGGTGGGGGTGCAAAACACAAAATAATCTTGACTCATGTGGAGATTTCTCCATATGTAATGATATTGTACAGCATCTTCCATTCCAAAGTAACACTCCTCAAGAGCACACGCAGAGACTGGTTGGGCCAAATGTCCCATTTGCGAGCTGTACATTTGTAAGTCTTAGAATATTCTATGAATGCTGAAATTGACCCTCCAAAAATAATGAACCCACACATAATGCAACTGTAGAGAGCACGGAGAAAGAATAATGTATCTGAAATGGTGTAAAGATTTATGCAGCATATCACATTCTCTGGACTAAATACCAGGACACGTTAAGAAGTCCCTTCGGCAAACAATGAAAGCTAAGAGTTGGAGAGAAGAAAAAAAACTTTTTTTTTAAAATCAGTGTCTGTATTACAGAGGAACTTAACTAGCACTCAAGAGCACCCTACAAATCACCAGGGTGGCACTGAAGTCTCCCTCACACTAGACATCCTGGTTGTCTTGGCTTTGAAGTTTAATATCTCTAGGCAGAGTTTAATAATAATAATCCTTGCATTAAATATAGCATCTTACCATGTTGCTGAGATGTCTCAAAGATTTTACTGAATACACTGTATACTGTAAAGTGAATTGATTGTATATTTTGTGGGTGAAACGCGGCAGCCAATTGCATCAGCAGTGTCCTACAAACAGTCGTGGGTTAAGTGACCAAATTATTATTTTGTTTGAAGAGATTTTAGCAGTACTTCAACAGATGGAGGGCACATATCCAGAGAGCAAGCACTTCACTGTCAGCCAGCTGTCAGCCTGGTTCAGTTGGTAGAGAGAATATGTGATAAAGCGCTATTCCAAATCCACAGTAAAATCCTGCGAAGAGAACCCTTCTATTTCCCCACGGAACCATTGAAACTCGATACAGTCCGAGGGCCAAAAAAAATCACCATGCTTGAAGCAATTTATATTCTTTTTAATAAAAAGTATTCAATGCACAATTCAGCTGGTGCCGAAGGGATTGCCCCTCATATTCAATATTGATGGAAAACGGAACAGCTCGTCCCTATCCGGTTACCGTGGCTTGCTGAGGAGAATAATGAAGACTTCCATTAATGGGTAGGGAATATCCGAGCCGGAATTTAACACCGTCCCTCTCGCCCTCCATCTTTCCTCCTCTGCTAAAGCTCGCAGTTCTGTAGCTTCAAATACAAAGCCCGAGTTTTGATCTCTCTGCAATTAATAATTAAACAGTTTTGTCTTCAGTGTAAAGACCCACCATTGGCACTCAACACAGGAGTTCAACTTGAGTAGCAAAAAACAAATTTCTAGCCTATTGCAGCAAAAAATGATTTCCCTGCCTCTTTGAGCAAAATCAATGTCAGCAGTTTCTAGTGTACAGTACCAACAGAGCCACTTCCCCTTCTCAACGATCACCGAATAGTTTGCTTCACGTCCCTCATCCTACCTGCCCCACCAGTCAGACTTTCGGCCCATCTTCGCCCAATCTCCGTAACATTTGTATTGTGTCTCACTATGCTAACTCTGTGAACATTGAGGCTGATTTAGAGCACTATTGGAACAGTCTGTACATTACACTTATTGGAGTTCGATGACTCCAATGCATGTTGGGCCCAGACTGCTTGAAAAATGCACCAGGGAGTGGATCTGACTGAAGTGCTCGAAATAATGATAAAGGGAATTCACAGAGGAAATAGACAAATGCTCTTCACTCTAAAAATCAGGCATCCAGGCTTAACCATGAAATTAAGAGTGTAAAAGAGAAGCTCAGCGGGAAAAGTATTTATATCAAGACTGTGAGAATATGGGACTGACTGCCTCAGAAATTTCAAACAGGTAGTCTCATGAGTCATGATGAAGACAGAGAGAGAGAGAGAGAGAGAGAGAGGGAGGGAGAAAAGAGCGAAAAAAAGGAACAAAAAGAGAGAGGAAGCAAAGGGAAAGAGAGAGAGCGAGAGAGAAAGCAAAGGGAGAGAAAGAGAGAGACACCCATCCACATGTAAGAGACCAGACATGCAGAAAAAATTGGGAAAATCCTATTACGAGGGTTGTTGCAGACTTCATGGTGGAGTTGGCTCGATGGACTGAGGGCTCCACCCTGTACCTAACACTAGATTGTTGTTCGATATTTAATCAAGGTGCCTGCCTTCTGCAATGCATGAATTTGCAGCTCCCACTCTCTGAAACTTTCCCCCAAAATCCATTGGTTTCACAAATCCGGGCTAACCAAGGCTCGCTGAACACTCCTGTCCGCTCCAAGTCTCAGAGTGCGCACATTAGCTGCCGCAACTGACCCGAGCTGCTTCCCCAATATGTTCCCGAACCATCCCCTTCCCACCACTATTCCCTCCACTATTCCTGCTCAACCCTCCTCTCCCTCCGCCTGCCCCGACTCCTATCCGTCCTCGACTCCCCCACGGCCTCCCTCTGCTCCTCCTTTCACGTTCTCCGTTGTGCCCACAGTGGCAGATGCCGTCGGCTGTCCTACAGCACCTACCCTGACTGCCCCTTTCCCCACTCTCGCCACAAGACCCACCAGCCCTCACCCACTGAAGCCAACCTTTCCTCCCTCGCTCACATCCCCATCCAACCCATCTGCCCACCCCCTCCCACCCCTCATCTCCCCCACACTCCCACTACTAACTGTTGCCTCCGCATCGGTCTGCAGACCGTCCGCTCATTAACTAACAAGTCCCTCACAATCCATGACTTCACCGTCAAGGAAAATATCGACATCCTCGTCCTCACCGAAAGCTGGGTCACCCCAGGCGACACCTTTCTCACTAGTTGAGGCCACACTTCCAGGTTACACCTTTCACCAAACCCCACTGCCTAATCGCCGTGGCGCTGGTGTGGCTCTCATCTCCCAGTCCCCTCTCGGCCTTTCCCCTTACTCCTCCAGAACCTTCTCCTCCTTTGAACACCTTACCTTCTACCATCCCTCCAGGCTCTCCCTCAAAATCCTCCTTGTCTACCATCCCCAAGCCTTCCCCTACCTTCCTTTTGGACATCTCCACCCTCCTATCTTCCCTCTCCTTCTGTTCTGAACGCCTCCTAATCCTAGGCGACTTCAACCTCCACTTCACCCTCTCCTGCTCTACCTCTGCCGACTTCTCCTCCTCACTGTCTCGGGCATCACCATCATCGATAAAGCCATCTCGGACCACCACTTCATCTCCCTCAACACTTCCGTATCCATTCCCCTTTCTCAATCCTCCACCATCACATATCATCCGTGGAAAATGTTTTCCTCCCTCTCCCCTGCCCTGGAGTCATCTGAACTCCTACACCTCTGGCCCTCCCTGACCGATCTCCCATCCTCACTCTCTTTTCTCCACAACTCCCTCTCCTTCATTCTAAACTCCCTTGTCCCCCCACACCTCCCAAACTGCCTCATACTGTCGTAAATCCCCCTGGTACACCAGCCATCTCCGTTCCCTCAAGGCATAAGTGCGAGCTGCCGAACGCGACTGGTCCAAATCCAAACTAACGGTTCATCAGCAGATCTGGCTTCACGACTCCAAGACCTACCGCTGTGCTCTTGCCTCTGCCAAATCCTCCTTCTACGCCAAGGTTATCTTGGAGGCGAAGGACAACCCCCGGCTTCTCTTTTCCACCACAAACCGTCTCCTCCATCCACCTTACCACGCCTCACCCATCCTCAAACTCCAACTGTGAGGAGATGCTGGATTTCCTCAAAACCTCTGTCCCGTCCACAGCCACTCCCACATTACCTCTCCCTCATGACCCACCACCCACCCATACTCCTTCGACCCTATCGCTCCCTCCTCCCACTCCGCGATTGTTTACAAGCTCAAACCCACCAGCTGCTCCCTCGATCCCATCCCCACCTTTCTGCTCGTCTCCCAGCTCCACCTTCTGGCCCCACTCCTGCCCGATGTCATCAACCACTCCCTGTCCACCAGTTCAGTTCCCACCCCCTAAAAACAGCTTTCATCACCCCCATCCTGAAAAAACCTTCCCTGGATCCATCCCTCCTCTCCAGCTACTGCCCCATCTCTAACCTCCCATTCCTCTCCAAGGTCCTGGAACGAGTCGTCGCGTCCCAGCTCCAATCATTTCTCTCTCGTTATTCCCTCTTTGAACCCCTCCAATCCGGCTTCCGCGTGACCCA